GCAGCCCTACCAGCTGCAAAGCAGAGCATGCGAGCCAGGCCACCGCTGGCAGGGGAGGCACTTTCCAAGCAGAACGCGGTAAGAAGCGTGCTGGAATCCGCCTCCAGAGTCGTGGAATTTTCTTTTTTTAACGTCCTTTTCAAACACATACTTTGAAAAAATATTTAAAGGCTGGGGAAATTAATTAGGGCCATTTGTGCTGGGCCCCTACCCCAGAGCTCCTCTAGCAGGAGGAGTAAAAATAGAACCTGTGAGGGGCTCGAAATGCATTGCGAACAAAGATCACATTTAAGAGCCCAATGAGGCATGACCGTCCAAACAGGAAGAAAGGAGCTAATTATTTCCATTGCTGTGGAGGGAACGGTGGCAGCCTTGAAAACTGGAGAAACCCCAGGAGGTCGGGAGGGAGCCTCACCAAGGGACAGGCCCCGCTTGTGCCCTCAGAGAATCACCACTTTGTCCCCACTCTGTCACTGAGGGGCAGTGAGGAAGCAGGGAGGAAGCAGAGACAAGCAAAGAGTTTGGAAGGTATTAAAAATCGCTTCCACTTAGGCAGCAATTTGACCTTTTAAATGTATTTTCCCCCTCATTTACTTGATCCTTAGCTGCCCCCAGAAGGTAGCCCTGGTGGGAGCTTTCATTTTCTCCAGATGCAGATGCTGAGCAAGTCCAAAATGACGCAAAGGGGTTTCCGGCAGGCCACCTGAGTGGGGGTCAGATGTCTGATTCCCAGGCTGGCCAAGTTCCAGCTCAGCACAGGCAGTCAGGAGCATGGGCTTGGAGTCAGGGGGGTCTGGGAGCAAGGCTCGGTCCAGCCACTCACAGGCCAGTCGCTGCCACCTTCAGAGCCTCAGCCCCCTCCTCTCTCCTGGGAACCTTCTCTCCTGGGAGCTTTCGGCCTGGGCGCAGTCCCCACCCCTTTTAAAGGCTGTCTGTGAGGATGATAGGAAATGAGGTGCCTAGAAACTTAGCAGTGCCTGCAGGTAGCTGTGCCTGGCAAGCACTGGGTTGTGTCATCAGCTCTGTTACCATGCTGGAATGCTGGAGGAGGGAGGGGGGACGTCTTCAGAAACATGCCTTCTGCACTGAGCCACGAGTCCTGACATGGCATCAAAGATCCTTGAGCCATGCATGCCACCTGGGGTAAATTACACCATCTTCAAGTCTGCAAAATGGGGCTGAGACAATGCTTCATGTCCCCCAGACCACAACCTCTTCCTGGGCTCACAGTAGAACCACATTTCCCAGCTCCCTTACTGTTAGATCGAGGGCCTGGAACCGAATTCTTCCCAATGGAATGTAGGTGGAAGTGCGGCAAGCCACTCCAGCTCTGAGCCTGAACAACACGCCTGTGTTCCTGCAGCCCTGCTCTCTCCCTTGGAGGGGACGGACGTGGCATAGCTCCAGGATGGAGGAGTGTGACGCAGAGCAAAGCCACCCAACCTGCACTGGACTCTGCTGTGACGCAGAAGAAAGCCAGAGCTGCGAAGAGTCAGAGATTAGGGCAACTGCTGGTGTCCCAGCACAGCCCAGCTCCTGTGGGTAACGTCTTCCCCAGGCTGGTGGGGTGCGGCGGGGCGTGAGCATCTGAGGAAACTGTGGGAGAGGGCTCTGTCAAATGTGTGTGGCTGTGCTACCGGTTCCAGGAGAGAGGGCTTGGGCACAGATTCGGTTCCAGAAACCCCTGGGTCCCCCAGACACTTCTCCTGGAACCCCTAGGCTTAAACACGACTGACAAAGAGAGCTGCGTTTGGTGAGCGTGTACGATACGCCACAGACACTGGAGCGCTCGGGCCTGACAGCCCCGTCGGCCCCGTGGGGCGGGTGAGCCCCAGAGGGTCAGCGGAGCATGGCAGTTATGAGGGAGGACGCAGGGTCCTCTGGCCAGAGTGTGACTCCACATTTGCTGTGTGACTTTGGACAGGATACTTGACCTTTCTGTGCCTCAGTACCCTCATTTGCACAAGGCTGTGAGGGTTTAAACGAGTTATTCCACGTAGAGCCCTTAGCACATAATAAACCCTCTAACGACGTTGGCCTGTTCCAAGCGCCTCCTTGACAGGTGGTGAGGCTCAGGGAGATAACATGACTTGTCCACTGGACGTGGGCACACGTCCGGTGAGAGGCTGAGCCTGGACCTGAGAGCGTGCCTGCAAAGCTGGTGCTTCTCTCTCTGCACCTGCAGGTGCACACACTCTGTGCGCTACCAGGGACCCCAGAGAGCCACAGCGAGCACTCCCCGTCGTCGTCATCACCAGCAGCGCCCCGACCCTGTAACAGCCTCCACAGTTTTCACAATGAGTTTGCACAGTCTGCCTCATTTCATCCTCACAGAAACTCTGATTCCCACTGTACAAACAAGGAAGCTGAAGCTGGGAGGAGCCACGGCTAACCCAAGACCACTCATTCCACGGTGGGAAAGCAGGACCTGAACGAGGACCTCTCCCCACGGAGCAGTGCCCGTGGGCAGCACACTGGGGCAGCGCCAGGCCTGCCTTAAGTGGTCACATCTTTCTCACGGTCTACTCCTCTCTACCAACGTTAGCCCCCAGCTTCTCTGGGGGCGGAGGACTGGGGAGGCCTGGCCTAGGAGAGCAGGGCAGTGCCACCTCCCAGCAGTGCCACCTGACATGTTGAGGGCAGAGAGACAAGCCACCCCCAGGCTGAGTGGAGATCCTGGGAGAGGACAGGGCCAAGGTTTGCCGAGGGCCAGGTTGCTAAGGAGGATCTGGTGGGGGCACTGGCTGGAGCACACGCTATACAGATGCCCAGAGCAGAGGCTGTTTGGCCAAAGGGATCCAGCCTGGGGCTCTCTGCAGCGTGCAGGGTAGTGAAAGCTGCTCATGGGGCCAAGGCCAGCCTCATGCCCCACATGGGCTGCTGTCTAATCCATGGTCCAGCCATATATGGACTCCTACCTCTAGCCAGGACTGACCTCAACATTGGCCACACACAGACCCTTAAACCAGGCCCAAACTGGCTCCAAACCTTAGTCACAGGCTGACCTTGAACCTAGCTACAGTGTCACCTGACCTAGAGGTTAACCAGGGACCACCTCTGGGCATGAACTATACTTGACCATTGACCCTAGTCCTCAAGGGCCACCCCTAAGTGCCAAGAACTAACCACTCACTGACCTCACGCTGACCCCTGGCCCCTAACTCTTAACGCCAGGCTAGCCTGACCTTACAAAAGCCTGATCCAGAGCATGTGTCCCTGGTCATACAAGTAAGAGGGCAGACGGGTCTTTACTGTGCAACACGTAGACCCCCATCAGGTTGGGGAGTGGGGATCCCACCTGTGGAGCGCTGTCTCCACAAACCACACGTCACCAGGACTCTCCGAGGAGAGGGGAGATGGCCTCAGCCCCACACCAGGCCAAGGCAGCCCTTGAGTCCACCCCAGGAAAAACGCCAACAGGAAGAGAGAGCCCTGCCTGACTCTCCTATGCGGCACTACAACCCCGCTTTCAAAACCTGATAAGGACATCGAGAGAAAGTTACAGACCGTGTCGCTCACGGCCGTAGCTACACGTCTTCGTAAAACATTAGCAGAGTTATTTGTAAAACAGCACATCACGACCAAGACAGGCTTGTCCCCGGCACGTGAGGATGGTCCGGTACCAGGAAATGTGCTCCTGGGTCTCGCCACGTTAACAGACTGAGAGACAAAAATCACGTGTCTCAACAACTGCACAAACATTATCTGAAAAGGTCGTGTCTCTTCATGATAAAAAGCCTTAGAGACTAGAAATAGGGGGGAACTTTTTTAACTCTGAAAAGGTTGTCTACTAAAATCCTACAGCAAATATACTTAACAATGTATTTTTTTAAGTTTAGATACGTTCTTCTTACGTTAAGGTACAAGACAGCGATGACACTATTATTCGATACAGAACTGGAGGACCTGGGCAATGCAATAAAGCAAGAAAAAGGAATGAGGATTTTACTGTATCGATTGCAATTGAAGAGATGAAACTACCAAAGATAGGGAGTATGATAATCTACAAATAAAAACTAACATTCAGCAGATAAACTGACAGAACTAGGATAAACAGAGGCCGCCCACACTCCTTGCCTTTGCGTGGATAGATGATGTTGGAATTCCACGGATCAGCTCTCTATAGTTCAGGTTTAACAGCAGCGTGCGTGCTGACAGTGTGTGTCGCTGGAACTGTGTCCCTCTTAGAAGGCTCGGGATGCTTTTCCTGACGACGTGGTGTTTGAGCAGATCCCTGAAGGACGTGCAGACGTGCAGCAGAGTCAGAGGGGGAGAAAGGGGGAGGTCTAGGGGCTGCTGGCACTGCACCTCTTTCGCACTCTGGGCTCCCGTGGCCCTTTGCTCTGTCCCATGGGTGCCGGGCTGGGGCCCGTACCAGAAGAGCTGCCCCATGCCCTCTCCTTCCTGCTTCTTCCTCTGCAGGTCCCAGCTCCCAGCCCTGCCTGCCTTCTCAGGGCTTCCACCTTTGTTTGTCCCTCAGTCCTGTGTTCTCAACCTCTCATCTGTTCTGTCCCGACTGCCACCTGTTCCCACATCATTCCCCTCTCAGAAATGGGCAAACAAATCTCCCTCAATTCTTCCTTCTCCTCTACTCCAATCTAAGAAGACCTCTCTTCTTCCACCTCTAGCCCAGTTTCCCCAGAAAGCGTTGTGCACGGACACAGTGCTCCCCTGCTCACTCCCCGCTGCAGGCTGGCGTTTGCCCTCACCCGTCATAATGCAGCAACCTTTGCCGAGATTACCGATGACCTCCTTGTCCATAAACTGTTGGAGTGCGTTTCTTTTCTCATCTATCTTGGCTTCGAGACAGCGTGTGACACTGCTGGCATTTCTGCCTTGTTGAACGCTGTGTGTGTGTGTTTTCCACGAAAGCTCTCCTGGGGCTTCCTTCCTCCCTCTCTAGCCGCTGTCTGCCAGTCTCCTCCGCCGGTTTCTTTCCTCTAACCATTCCTTGCAGCTTGATGCCTCCCAGGGTTCTGCCCAGGCCATTTTCTTGTCTTCCTCTATTTACACGCCCTCTGGGAGCCGTCTCCATGGCTCAGTCGCTCTTTGCAGGTGCAAGAGTTCCACAGCAGCGTCACTGGACAAATGCTGCCTCCAGAGCTCCAGGCTGTAACCGCTGACACTGGGGCCACTCCAGCATCCCGTCTCCGTGTCCCTCAGGCATCTCGGGCTCACCGCGCCGTCCTCAAACACCCCGCTGCGTCCCCCAGCCCGGGGCGGTCTGCCTGCCTTCTCCCGTCACCACCTTCCCCGCACGTTATCAGGCACCACGTCTCCTCTAGTCTCCTTCCTGAGTGTCTCAGGAATCGCCTGCTTTTCTCCATGTTCTGTGCTGTTAACACAGCCTGGGCCACCAGCATCTCTCGGCCAGACCACTGGAGCAGTCTCCTCACCAGCCTCCGTGTCTCCGTGTAACCACGCATCGTGAGCAGTTACCGTCCTCCAGGCCTCGCGCTTGGTCCTGCCCGCATCCAGTTCAGTCTCCACCTGCGGCCCAGGATCTTTAGAAAACAGAATTCAGATCATGTCGCCCCTCCTTGTTCTTAGGTTGAACTCTGAATTCTTAGCGGGGCACAATTCTGACTTCACGAGGAAGACAGATGAAGAACAAATTCACAGGCAAGGTGACACAGTAACTGTGGTTTGTGACATGTTTTCTAAATAAAATAAACAGGGTGGTTGGGCAGAGCAATGAGGGTAAGGAGGAAAAGCCATCTGGGAAAAGATAAAGCTGATTACAGAGAGATGTGCAGTGGTGGAGAGGAAGGGAGAAGCGGAGGGGGGGACGCCATGCAGCGCCGACTGATGGAAACCACCCCCCTGGCTCAGAAACCCCGTCCCATTCAGCAAGTTCCGCTTCTTTCCACACGGACACCCTGAGACGTCCTGTACCCTTTTAAACTACCTCCCTCATCGCCAACCCTTTTATTTAAGTTAGTTTGAAGAACCCTGTTCCTACAAATGAAACAGCCCTGATTACAATGCCGTTCTTCGGATCTCAGCTTAAATGTCACCTCCTCCAAGAAGACTTCCTTGATGCATTACTCTGAGTTTGATGCCTACGTTACTTTCCTGTGAGTGCAGTCACAAAGTGCCACAGACTAGGCGGCTTTGAAGAGCAGAAGTGCATTCTCTCACAGCCTGCAGGCCGGAAGTTCGAGACCAAGGTGCGGGCAGGACGGTGTTCTCTCTGGAAGCTCTAGGGGCATCTGCTCCAGGGCTACCTCTTAGCTCCCGAAGTTGCTGTCAGTTCTCGGTCTGCAGGACATCGCTCCAACCACACGGCCTTCTCCGAGTGTCTCTGCGAACGTGTCTCTTCTCGTCTTCTCAGAAGAACACCAGTCATGACGCTCAAGGGCCCACCCTGACCACCCATCTTTGCTTGGTTACACCAGCAGACTGTTCCCAAGTCAGGTCACACTCACAGGAACTGGGGGTCAGGACTTCAGCACATCCGTGGTGGGGGACACAACCCATTCCATACAGTGCCCTGCCGTGGCCCCCACAGCACAGCAGTGTTTGTCCACTGGGTTGCGAGCACCTCCCTGCTCCTCCCCCAGACTGTAAGTGCCGTGAGAGCCTGGCCACAGCAGCCACATTCACCGCTCCATCCCCGGGGGCCTGACAGACAGTGCACAAAGTATTTCTGAATGAGGGAATGGTGACATAAAGGTACGTAGACCCCTGCACCTACTGGACCCGCGTGCCTCCTCGAGCCTCGGTGGCCTGCCGGCATGCGACTGTGTCTGCCGCTTATCCCCGTTAGCACCATGGGGGAGGCTTAGTTTGAAAGGAATGGACAGCGGAGGTCACAGCGTCACCCCTGGGATTTCGGCAACCCAGGAGCAGAAGATATGGAGGCGAGAGCTGCACGCTCATCTGCAACTCGGCCCATCTGCAAGCTTACTTGGAGGCTGCAGCCAGCGCTCAGGCCCAGCTCCCAGCATCCCAGCTGCAGGGGAGGGGAAAGGCCGCACTGCCAGCACCTGCAGTCACCTGACTCCCCACCTGAGAGCTTCTTCACCATCGTCAGGGGTGAGAGGGAAAAGCGGCCAACCCCTCTGCCCTGGCTGCCACGTGGAAACCATGAGCTGCCCTTGCTGGCGTCCCTGTGGGAGGGAAAGGAGCACTCAGAACAAGGGAGGGGCTGCCCCGGCCCCAGGTTAACTTGCCACTTGGGTTTGCACAGAGGACCTGGGACTCTTCCAGGGCCCTGCAGATATCAATGCAGCGACCACAGATAGGCACCGGTGACTTCTCATGGTCTGGAAGCATCACTCCCTTTGAACTGCTTGGCGGGATGTCCTGAGGGATGGCTGAACTGAACTCTGCACAAAGGGAAAAGACAGATCACAGGGAACCTGGAACCAAAGAAGCACCAACTCCTCCAAACAACTGGGGCAGCATCGTCTGACGGCTGCAGCTGTATAATCTCGTGGAATCTCGTGCTCGGCAGTCCTGTGAGTCAGGGCGGGGGTAGTAACTGTACCCAGGGAGCCCCAAAGGCAGAAGGCAGAGGGGGGTGCTGACAGGCCAGAGGCTCAGGCCCGAGTCTGGGGCCCCCGCTACCCCCCCGGCTGGATGCCTAGTTTCTAACAACTGCATGCTGTCCCACCCAGGATGACCCCAGGCCCTGGAGGTTTCTAGGAGGACACAGAAGGCTTCACAGAGACCAGACTGGCTCAGGGGCTCCGAGTCCCCGGTGCGACGGCGGTGGAGTGGCAGAGAGCTGCCATGCACAGGAGCCGGAATGCAGGCCTTGGGGCCTGCAAACGCCATTACCGCCAAGAGACGTGTCTGGCTGTTCCGAGCTTTCAAGTCGTTGGTGAAAACCAACCTGTCAGCACTTCAGGACCGTGCTGGCTGGCTCTGGATCAGCCACCTCCTGCCTCCTTGGGGATGAGCCTGCAGCAGAAGCAGGCT